TTTAAATATTGGTGTTTTGCTGACACTTTCTGGTTTTATGGTACAGCCATTGTTCAGGTGGAACATTTTCACATTTATTGCATTGTGATAGTACCTCAATCATGTACTTGATGAAAAGAGCTTTCTCTGAACTCTTAGATCTGAAGTGATCAGGTTGCTTCAGCCTTACTACCTTGGCATCGCCATCTCTGCAGGTACCTACTTTTCCTAACCACCGAAACCCAGTCCATTTTGTTTTTGCCATGGAGAGTGCTAGCAAGATATTGAAGAAAAGACATAAGAAGTGTCTCAGCAGTGTCTTTCGGTCTTCTTCTATTGATTCATGTGAGTTAATTCTGTTCTAGACATACATGAGGCATGCAGAACGGTGAGATCTTATTAAAAACAACCATATAGCATATGGTTATAGAGATAGCACCTTAAATAGAAGAGTAACACCTCTGGTTCAGGAAGTTGCTACGCTATAGCTTGTTGTAGTTGGGGAGAATAATCTGATGATGGATTATCATTGCCATCGTCTTAAACTCTTTCCTAGGCATCTGTTATTGACCTGTTTTGGTGATGAGATATGAGGTGAAATGGATGCTTTGACCCAGCATAGTTGTTCTTGAAACAGAAGACTGTTACTTTTTAGGGTGTTGTTTTTTTTTTTAATTGTCGATTTTACTATTTCATCTTATTAAAATTTCTCTCTCTTAACCTTGGTCACTTGACGCAGTCTAGCCTTCCTAATCAATGCTCAATCTAAACGTACCATGGTCATAAATAATTAGCTACTGTCATGTATTGAGTTGATGGCTTCATGTCACAGAAAATTAGACTAAATTAAGGGTAGCGTTTTCACAGGTATGGTCTAGAATTAAAGTTTTAAGAAAAGATAAAAAATGTGCCAAAATTTGAGGATGTATACATAGGAAGTTTGAAGTCTTACATTGTTCACTTTGATTTCTCTCAGATTTTTCCACTTGATGTGTATGCTCTGACATACTGGAGTTTTATTTTTAGAATTTTTACCTATTTTTCAACCTAAAGAAATACCATCTGTTATACAAGTAACTAATTCAGAAAATTGTTTTTAGTATTGACTTTCCAAAACTATTTGACAAATTTGAACTTAATTGTGGAAGTAGGTTAATCATCAAGTGTCAAGGTTCCAGTAACATTTTGAAGTTAATTTGAAAATTCGATTGAGGAGTTACAATTATTATCGTAATTTAATTTAGATACACTAATGACTTGGGATGCTTTGATATCCATGTAAAACATCACCTTGTTACTGTCAGATCCTCTAGTTCAACATAAAGAATTGGTTATTTAATTTTCAAATGCTTATGCATGGAGGCTTGAGTTGCAATCAGTTTTTACTACAACACTTCTTTAGCACAAGATGTAGGGCAGAACTGTAGCAAAGATTGTAGCTACTGCCTCATTTATACTTGTCCATATTACTCAGAAAAGTTAGAAATCTTTCACAGAATTTAAGCTTAGATTTTCTGTAGCTTAATGACACTTGCCTGGAAGGGACTTATATGCACACTGGGAAGGAGGATTTTCAAGCTTCTGTACAAAGATCAAATAGCAAATTTGCCAGGTAGGGAAATTTTTTTTTCTGTTATAAGGGGAACACAATATGAGATCGTATTCATGATCTTTAATACATGTGTAGCAGTCACAATTTAGAAAAACACAAGAATGTAAATTAGGAAGATAGTGCTTACTGCAAAGGAATAACGTGAGATTATATTGCAGAGAAACATAATTTATTAAAAAAAAAACCCACCAAAAAAACCCCCAAAGGAATAAAAAAAAAATCCCAAACAAACCAAAAAGACCCCAGAGCCATTGTTTTCATAATCTGATTAAAAAATTTCCCTAAATTGGAACTAAATTACATGCATTCACTGCTCTTTTCTGACCTTGGCAGGCAGCTTGTTTGCTGCCATGTAAGATCAGTTTCTCAATGATACCACCAAACTGCAATTTGTAGAAGTTGGGCACCTAAATACTTCCAAAGATCTGGGTTTTACTACTTTACCAAGTGATAGTAAATGGTCTCTATTAAAATACTCATCACTTCCAGAGCTGTGTAAAGGCGTTCAGATGCTGCAGGGTATGCTGACTAGACTACTTTGCCTGTCTTTTCCTGGTGATGAGCAGGAAGATATTGTGGTTGCTCAGAAGGAAATCAGAGTGAAGATCAGACACTAAATCAAGGTCTGCTACTGAGGAGAGAATGAACATGTTCGTTTTCTCTTTTAGAAGACGGAGAACAGGAGAGTCTTCAGTGTGTTTGTACAGTCTCTAATCAGATACTACAGGAAACAATCTTAACCTCCAGGCACTGTTTTCCAACTCTATTCTCTTTTCCCAGTATCTCGTAAAGGATGGTAGTTTTCCAGTGTATCCATCGACTCCTGTGAGTGCGGCTCCTTTTCTTAATTGAATGCCTTGGCAAAAAAAAAGTTTAGGTACATTCTGCATGTTCTGTAATGGGTGAGTGGATGTATTAGGATGGTAATGACAAGTGGCAAAGTTGACTAAAACACTTTCAAGCATGCTTGATGTTTTGCAAAATTTATGGCAATGATAGATGTTTGCATTAAGATAATCCAAAATTAGGATTTGCATAATCAGTCTGTACAGAGGAAGATTACAAGTTAATGTGGAAGGGTTAATAATGAGTGAGAGAGGCTGAATGATAGTGTTGAAGGTGACAGGGACACAAAGAAGCAAGAAAATTAAAGTAGATAGATGAAGAAATTAGGAAATGGAGGGGAGGCAGCCATGACCAGGGAGGAGATATATAACTGGTTGAATGAAAAAGCAGAGGGAAATAGAGTGAAGTTAGGAGTTTTTCTAACAGTTAAAAAAGTTGAAGTTAAAGTGACTATAAATTTAATGTGTATGTTGACTGTATGACTGAATAACTTTCCTTTTAGCTGTAAAGGTTGGAAGGGTCTCAGACAAGCGTAACAGTGAGTGTGTTTCTCATGTTGCTGATTAACATAAAAGTTGCATAAAGCTTCTCAGTTTTTGTAACTATCTGTCTCCTGTGGTTTATAATGTCTCTTTCCTAAAAGTTAAATGCTCATTTGAGACTATATAAGATGTTTCAATAGAACATGTAAGGCTACAGAGAACTCTATGAACTTTAATTTATTGTGTAGAGAAACCTCTTAGCAGCATTCATTTAGTGAAAATGGTATGCATTTTTCTATTTTTACAAAGAGCTTCTTTGAGCTTCTGTCTCAAAACTTGGTTTCTAGCTGAATACAATGGGCGTTCTAGTGTCTTTTTGTTCCATGTGGTTTTGTTTTGCTGAAAATGAGAGGATTTTGTTTCTTTTATTATGAGGAAATGTTCTGTCTTGATGAGAAAGCAGTATTTTCATGAGTAATTCAGAAGAATTTTTTAGGATTAGTGCTGGGTGTGCTGATACACTTGAGGATCTGAAACTGGACATTTAAGTACTGCATAAAGACTAGTGGATGGTGGCTATTACTCTATGTTACACAGCTAACATGCATTTTAGTTTGGTTTGAAGAATACTATAGAAAGGTGTTATGTTTTTCCTTAGTTCAAAATATTGTGTGGGTATTTGTGTTTCTAAATAGGAAAAGCTTTTTAAAAGGTACTCAAGTTAAAAAAAAAAAAAGTAATCATATATAGAACGAACTGTCTTTTTTTTCCCCTCTAGGGAATAGGTAGGTTAACTGCTATTAACATCAGGATCTAGCAGCACTTTTTTTTCTGGAGAAGATTTATGTCTGGTGCTCCAATTTGGAGTTCTTCCTGCATTAAAAAAACATTTCTGCTGGCTCTTCTGTGCCATACAATTATATGGTTACATTTCCTTTGGTTTTAGAAGGGCTGTCTTTTTAACAGCATGGCAACAGTTTTATTAAAAAAAAAAAAAAAAAAAAGGAGGAAAGTTCTGGGGCAATAATTTTTTTGTGTTTTCTTAGGGAAGGGTTTATTGGGTCAGTCTTGGGATATAATTCATTTAAATATTTTCATAGCTATTTAGAAATGCTGAGGTTCTCCCAGTTTTACTCCCTGCCTATACCATTAACCTTGGTGTGGCTGGGCAGATATGCCAGGTCTCTTTCTTACTATCAGTTTGCATTCATTTTCCACGACTAACTGCAGTTCAGGGTCTCAGGTGCACGTGGGAGGAGTGTGCCACGTCCCAGGCAGACTTGGTGGCAGTTTGGAAGTGCAGGAAGAGCTGTTGGGTCAGTACGTGCTGCTCAAATACCTGTACTTGGAGGGAAAGGCATGCCTGTAGCTTGCTGGTGTTCAGAAAGAAAGAACTAGAGATCTCTAATGAGATTATTTCAGATATTCTGTGGTGGACGTGATGAATGAAAAATAAAATCAATATTAAAAAAAATTTTGGGTTTCTAGGGAGTGATGGATGTAGTCCAGTAAGTACTAATTCCGGTCAAGTTTTTGTTGCGGTTTTGTAACTTCCCTGATGTCTGAACCGCATGTAGGTGTTGTGTTTCAGAGGGAAGGTTGAACACTGCTGCAGAACTCTTCCAACAGGCCTTATGGAGTTAGAAAGATCTGTAGTACATAGATGTTCTGGACCAAAAGCATTTTTTTTTTTCAGTGATCTTTACCGTGTTTTATGTTTGCAGGAAACCAAAGCTGATGTTTACATGGCTGGGTAACAAACTGTTGTTTAAAGTGCTATTTTCACGTTTTTAACTGTCCCGAGTTTAAATTTTCTCTGTTAAGTAGCTCCGCAGCTTAAATCACACTAAAAGCTAGCTAAAAATGTTAAATTACTTTGTTTTAGATGAGCTGACCTGTATTTCCTTTAAACTTATAAATTTATTTGTGAATTGTGTTATTGATACTTTTCCTGCCATTATTTTTCATTGAAGGTGAACCTCTAGATCTGCTCAGCATGTTGCTTTGAAATCAAGTTGTAAGTGTATATATACATGAGTATACATAAAATACTGCAAAATTTGATTATCTTTCATAGGGAAGTTTTTACCTTTGAAGACAATGTTAGGACCAAGATATGATGAACAGGTTGCTGAAGAAAATCGTTTTCACCCGAGTATGTTATCCAACTACTTGAAGAGTCTGAAGGTAAAGTTAAATTTTCTGGTAATTGAAACATTACTTTAATTATTAATGTTTATTCAAATGTTGCTTTTCAGATTTAAGAAAAAAGTGGTTGATGGCTTCTTTTAGGACATCTGTACAGAAAATTTATTTTTTTGTTTACGTTTTCAGATTTTCTCTAAATTTCCAGAAGTGCTTTCTAACAGGCAAGAATTGTGCAAAATCCTCCAGCTCGTTCCCTGTATTAGCAGCAAGAATCTCACTCTTCTCTGTTATTACTCTTGCATCTTGGAGCGATGTCATTTTCAGAATTCAAACAGTCTGAGTTTGTAGTTTTACAAATGACTCTTGCGTATGGATATGTTGCTATTTTGCTTATAGGACTGAAAGCATTTAAAAGTGAAAGGAGAATTCCATAAAACTCTTCTGTAGTTTCAATGCATAATTTTCTTGTTTTCTTGGGTATCTAACCAGTCATACCCAAGTATGGAAGAAAGCAATTTACGGATTTTATCCAGTAAGTTCTTAGTGAAAAAAATGCATAAATAGAAAAAAAATTTAGGAGCATGGATTGGGACCCAGGAAGGTGGGTGGATGCCTTTATCATTGGGTTACAGAGTTGTGCTTCTGGCTTATTTCTTCATTCTCTGTTTTGCCAATTTCTGTCTGTCTACTTCAGCTTGCATGTTATTCTGCACCGTAGCACAACTTTGACAATAAAAGTGGGGAACAGGACCTTTCCAGCCTTTCATGTAGGTCTATGAAGTGTTGTGCCCAGTCCAGTGCATCTGGAGATGTGGTAAATGGGATTTTGAACCTCCCAGGCAAAGAAAGGCCTACAGCCTAATTCTTTTAATCTGTTTATTGAACTGTTATATAGGTTAGCACCATTTTTTTTTTGACTGTGTGTTTTATAAAACTAATCATGCTAGTGACACTTTTTTCTGTGGGGTTTTTTGTTTTCTTTTTTTGCTGTTGATCTAAGTTAAATTAATTCTGAACTTGTTTAACAGTATCAGAGCTTACACATCAGAAGAATCAGGTGACTAAAATACGGCAATCTTAATTTTATGAACCTTATTTAGGCTTAGGTATGAAGTAGATGGTGAGCTACTCTGTGGCAGTGATAGAAGTACCTGTGGGCTAATGTGATAAGAAGGTACTATCAGTGAAGCATATGCTCCTGTTCTCAGGTGCTTGAACTGGTAGGATTTTTCTTGTTTGAATTCTTGGATCTATGCATCTAAAGTCTACTTGCATTCCTCTTCTATGCATTATGTTGTTTTTGACTCTGACTGGCTTTAATGGGCATACCTAGAAATTTTCCAAACCCAGTCTTATTCATGGTTTAAAGTAATTTAAAATTCTGCATATATTTTGAAGTTATAAAGAACTTCAGAGACTTCCTCAGAATTTCTGACTATTTGCTTGTTAGTGTTTTGTCATCAAAAAAGAAACAGTGGTAAGCCTTCATAGCCTTTCCACTAGGCACATCAATCAGTTCTATTGCAATACTACAAATTCGTAATGTCTTGCGTGACATCAGATAATTAGACTCTGATAGTACAATTGCTAGCATGAGGATCCCCACTTATATCTTGGTAATTTTGGTTAACAAGCAGAACATGTAATTTCTCTCAAACTTGCTGTTCTCATCAAATCTATTGTATTGTCTTGAACCCTGGTATTGTTGCTAAATGTTTGCTATTTGAAAACATAAGATTTTTTTATTTGCCCAGATATGCAGTGGATTACTGGAGTGCTATATTTGTAGAACAGCAGTTTACCAACAATCCGGCAATGAAATGAATGTGCAATTGAGGAGACCTTGAAAAGTGGATTTTCCCAAGGCAAAAGTAGCTCACTGTGCATGGTTCTCATCACTTTACTGCAGCGTGTTTTGCTGCTAATACTTTGCAGAATGAATCACTTCTGAAACTTGGTTATTACTTAAGTCCATATAATTTATCTCCCAAATAAGAGACTTCAGCAGAAACTTTTACATCTGGATTTTGGTAATAGTGAGATATTGCTGCTACCACAGATTTTTGAAGGTACCGGTAGTCTGGGAGGAACTTTCTCTAACAAGCTTTCTGTGCGATTCCTTTTTCTCGTGGAGCGGGTTGCTGAAAATCTGAACATTAGAAACTGATTTGATAAGGGATAGCAACCCTGTTTTTCTTCTGATTGCCAATGTTGACATAGTATCTTAATGGTCTCATAAAAAAAATTTGCAGGAGCAATTGGTGACAGTGTGAATAATTTAATTTTTTTTATTTCTTTCTTGAGTAGGTAGGTTAGTACTGTTTATGCTTTATAAAAGGTAGTTTTATTTCTGTTATGACAAGCTAGGACGTTAGTTAACTCAAAAGAATGTTTGGGCAATTAGTATGCTCAAGTTACAATATTCCTATTAGGAAAACTAGTTATCAGTTTCCAGCCACATTATTGTTTTCACAGATAAATTGAATCACTGATTCAAACTGTTTTCCTCAAATAAGAAATGCAAGAAAAAAATCCTGGGACTGGAGAGTATTCAGTGTATTGTAGTATGCTCTCTCCCTCCTGGGAAGGATGTTTTCAAGTTCCAACATCTAATGAGAAACTTCTGGGGTCATACAAGGGGAACCTAGCTAAGCCCATTTAATCGCACAGCAGCAGAAGAGCACATGCATGAGGCATTAATAGCTGGAGATAGCTGGAATGTGAGAAAGTGAGGAGGAAAGCTTTTATAACCGTAGGAGGACATGGAGAGCGTGGCCAAAATAAGTATGAGCAGAATGGAGGTGGTATGAAGATCTTGGTAGTATTGTATGTAGAAGATGAGAATTTCAAGCTATTGAGGAGGCTTTTTTTCCTTCTATCCAGTCATCTTTTACAATTAGAAGCAAGAAAAATAACTAGTTTCAATTGTGTTTCAATGTGGTGTCTAAGATCGTAGTGTTGCAACAGTCCTTGTAAGAAATAAATGTATGTTTTAGTGAGAAGTTGCTCAACAATTTGAAATTATTCTTTCTTCCAAAGCTGTGTCATTCAATGGGCGTGGTGGACTGAAAGATGTGATTCATGCAAAACATTGGCAGGAAAAACATTTTTTTCCAGTGGGTGACTTATCTATTTTAGCTTAGATAGTCTTTCAAAAATCAGCTCCTATTAAGAACTTTCTAAGAGCAAACTTACGAGAGCATGACTGAGAGGATGGCTGTGATGACTGGTGTGATGTCAGGGTTTCAGAGCAGAGCAAAGCACCTGCGTGATGAACGTACAAGTACTAGAATCTATTCTATAGGTGAGAATTGTGGTTGGTTAGGACAAGCATAGTATAACTCCGGTTCAGTGACTGAATTGTTTCGATTCCTGTGGTATCAGTGGTTTTTTGCATGGATTTTTGGAACATCATAGTTGTATACTTTGATATGTTACATAATCCCCCCCCGCTTTTTTAAAATTTCTCTATCCTTTTTTTCTGCCTTGCACTCTTTAAATTGTAGTGTGTTATGTGCGGCTAACCCCATGAACAGAGAGAGCAAATGTTTATGCTTTCTGTAAAGCAAGGAAACTGCTTTCAGGCCTTATACGCTGTATATGCCATAGATGCTTTTATAGCTTCAGCTAAATTATATCGGATGCCTATGTGGTTTACTGCTTTATGAAATGTGTGAGGAACAGTGTCACTTCACAAGATCTTCACTTGTATATGATTGAAATGATTCATAATAATTGCAAAGGAATACCAGACCAGAAGTCCTAGAGTCCTGTTATTCAGAATTTCCTTTCTAGCAGACACTTTGCTATATTTCATTCTCCTATTCAAATTAAATGCAACATCCCAAATGCTTGGTGACATTTTGGGTCTGAAGTACGTTGTAGTGTTCTCCTGGCTTCTCTATGTCCATCAGGAAACTAAAATCTGTGAGTGAGTATGTTCAAAAGAGTAATTTCTAAAAGTTGAGGGAAAAGCATGCGAGTATTCTTGGAGCTTAAAAGCTTGACATAAAATTAATTTTTGTACTTTCACGCATCTTCTCAGTGATAATTCTTCATTGTAGCAGGAGTTTGGGGAAGTTTGGAGGCTTCTGGTGGGAACATTTGAAGCTGCTGGTATTTGAGAACAGCGGGGTTGGGAATTGGCTTTCAGTTTTCAACACTAAAATGGAATTGTATCTCTCCTACTTTTGGATGGGAGGATGTGAAACTATGTTCTGCAAATCACTTGCATTTCTTCTTGTAGCTCTCCTTTAAAAATTTGGTATATTAAACAGTGTTACCTTTTAATCTGTCTTCATGCTTTTATTAAAAGTTGTTTTCCTCACGATTCTTTTTCCCTTTCTCCAGACTGTCAGATGATACAGCATTTTTTTCCAAGAGTAGTTCACGTTTTGGAATGCTTCTTTCTTACTAGACTGGAACTGAATGCAAAAACCTTTAATTTAAAATGATGTTTTCATTAAATCTTATTCTTATTTCGAAAATAACTTTTTTCCCCTTAGCTGAGGACATCTTGGAAGCATTTTTGGGGCATGGCATGTTACTGGAAGATACTCTGTGGATTCCCTCCATGGAGCCATTGCTTGTGTAGAACGGTAGAAAAATATCTAGTTTTCATAGAACTAACTCATTTTAGATGCACTTTTCTATCCTAGCATGTTGTCCTGTACAATCACCTAGAAGTACTGGTGTGGGAATATATTATTCTCCTCTGAACACTTATTTTGAACTGGTTTATGTCAGTGTTGTAGTGTTACGGACCTACAGTCTGTAGCACCTGGAAATTTTGTGTGGTCTTACTTGTGAATTAAGTAGTCTTTGAGATATTTGCTAAATGCTGTTGAGAATGGAGGGGAAGGAAAGTAACCACTGAATTAATTGCCTTTTGTATACTTCCTACAAAATTAATCACTGGCTAGTATGCTGTCAGTCTGTATGATTAGCAGCTCGGTTGACACGAAATACTTGAAGTTTCAGGTGATGTAACATTGTTTTCAGGTGGACCCCTATGGAAGTAGCTTGTATTTCTGCAAAACACAGTACTCAAAGCATTCTGAATACAATATACGAAGTTGAAGTAAACAAGGAGAAATTCAGAACTGATTTGGATATTACACTACAAATGCTTAATGCTGCTGACAATTATAACATTATGATGCTTTTTAATACTTGATTATGAAAGTATAAAAGTAGTATAAAAATATTATGAAAGTATATCATCAGAACTTTGAATACGATGGATAACTACCTCTGTAGATAATTGGAAATTTGTTTTTGGGGTCTACTGAACAACAATATCCATGTGAAGCAGCTGTTTCTGAACTATACTCCAGTTATAATTGGAACTTATCTTTTCTGAATTGTCCGGAAGCAGTGTTTTAATTTGTAATTCTTCCAACTGCACCGCTAAATTATTGCCAGTCTGTTGACCTTAAGGTAGATAAAATCTGATCAAAATCCTGTTTATGAGTTGTGTGCTGGAGTTTTAAATATATTGAAGATGCAGCATTCTTCTATGGTTTTGCATGCGTAACATGCTTCAGTGTTAAAGTATTTTTAAGTGCACTATTGATGTATCTTTAAAAAAGACAAAGCTATGGAACAAGGGTTTTGCTGAACTACCACTCTTAAAATGCCTTTTAAAAAGACATCTGTTTTCATGGTGAGGATCCTACCTGGAAGCATGACATTCAGCATTTTGACCAAAAGCAACTACTTGCCCTTATAAGGCAGGAAACCAGGAATACTTCCAGTACACAGGTGTGTTAGTGAGCTGTTGTTGCAGAGTAATACTGGGAGGTTTATGGTTGCTGAAAATTTTGTTTGGACAATGGATCATTTGCTGATGTTCTCTGTGTGTTGGATGCCACGCAGCAGAATTTCTGCTTTCCATCTTGCTTTTTAAAAACATAGTAACTTCCACAAGGATGCTTTAAAAGACCTATTTTACAGCTATAAAAACCAAACACTAAAAAAGTTCATGCACAAGGGGACACATTAGGGTAGAGTGGGCAAGGCAGCCTGAATTCAGGTACGTCCTAACATCTGAGTGGTTGACACTGCCACCTTAATGACTGACAGCATCTTTGAAAATTTCAAGTTGTTTCACATTTTAGCTTTGAATAAAATGTTTCTGAGAATTTAAGGGAATTTTTGTTTTAAACTTGAAAATGTGTTCATTTGTTTTGCACTCTAATTTAATGGATGGGTAAATTAAACTGAGGTTTTTTTTTTTTGAGAGTATACTTACATATAAGTCTCAGTAGTTAATTTTTCTTATGGTACTTCCACTGTGTCAGTATTTAATATTGTTCTACTTAAAGCATAAAAGCACCTGATTCCACCTTATTTGTCTTTTAACATGTTAAAATAATTCTTTACCAGATACTTTCCTGCTGTTAGCAGATCTTATTTAGAAACGTTGATGGGAACAAACTGAAGTTTTTGAATTGATGGCTAGTGCCAATTCAGACACCAGCTTTCACAAAGAAACACGGATGACTGTGATGGTGGTAAAATACAGATTTTGTGAACAAATGCAGTATTTAAGAATTTTTAAACTTGCAACTGTAGCCTGCTATTGCTTTTAATTTGGATGTTGTTAGCCATTTAGTATTTATGCACTGATATTTGAACCACATATTTAAGTTTACTTTTTTTTTTGTTTTTTTTTTTGTTTTTTTGTTTTAGGTTAAAATGGGTTTACTGGTAGACTTGACCAACACCACTAGATTCTATGATAGGAATGATATAGAGAAAGAAGGGATTAAATATATAAAGCTCCAGTGTAAAGGGTAAGTTGTCTGCACTTTTTTAGTATTTAGCTTTTAATTTCAAAGATCATACTGAAGTAATTAATGTTTTTTTTTTTCCTCTTCCTTTTTCCCCAGCTGTCTCCTAATCTGTGTGTTCCTGTGTTTTTCAGGCATGGTGAGTGTCCTACACCTGAGAATACAGAAACATTTATCCGTGTATGTGAACACTTCAGTGATAAGAATCCCTCAGAGCTTATAGGTATGTCTTCTTCTATCCATTATATCCATCTTATATCCATCATTAGTTTTACTGTTAATTTATTTCATATTTACTCATAAATGCAAGTCTCTTATTCTTAAAAGCAAAGGAATTTCCTCAGTACAATGTTTATGCATATGTAGATTTGATTGCTTGTACTCCAGAAACTACTATGTTTCTGTTTTTTACAGAAACTGGTATGTTTCTGCATCCATCAATTTGATTACAGCTATCAACTTAATGCAGAAGAATATACAGTCTTAAGAACTGTTTACAAATACATGATACTAGCATTGTGTTTTTGTAACTTCTGCTGATACAAATGGAGGTTATGCATTGCTTAAGTATTGTTTCTGTCATTTGATGGTCTGGCTTACTTGAAGTCATATTTGATAACTGAATGATCAGAGATTCTTTAGCAAATCTCACAAAACAGCTGATTAATTGCTGGAAACTGGTAGTGGATATCAGGCTAAGTTTTTCTTCTGTGGTGTACTGTCTCGCAGTGAATATTTGAATGTTCTTAAGGATAATTTTTTTTTACCCAGACCAAAATAAGTTCTCGGTTTAATTTGGGTGGCTTCTAGTTAAGCATATTAATATTGAACTCTATCTGCAAACTGTTGGAGACAAGAAATTACTTTGCAGCTGAATTTCCAGAGTCAGAATGGATATTGTCCTCAAGCCTCTTTGATGATAATTCTGCGACCTTCCTGAATCTGAATGTTTGTGCAACTTAGGAGTGCATGGAATAGTTGTTAGTGTAGGTGTCATTGATAACAGCTTGGTAAATTAAGCTGGTATGTTCATACAGTTTAGGATTCATACAGAATCATAGAATTGTACAATAGTTCAGGTTGTTGGAAGGGACCTGTGGAAATCAGCTAGTCAGCTGCCCTTCCTTAGAGCAGGCCAGCTAAAGCAGCTTGCTCAGGACTGTGCCCATTTGGGTTTTGACCATCTCCAAGCCTGGGGACTCCACAACATCTTCTGGCAACCTCTTCCAGTGTTTGCTCACGCTTACAATATACAGGGGTTTTTTTTTCTTATGTTTAAACAGAATTTATTGTATTTCAATTAGAACCCATTGCTTCTTGTCCTGTCACAGGATACCACTGAGAATCTTTTTTTTTTTTTTCCCAGTGCTTGAGAGATTTAATTTGGGCACACACTTTTCCACATAATTTTCTTTTAGGTACTTTCTTATTTCTTTATTTCACATGCAATTTTAATTTGAGACCTACGTTTTCTTCTCTAAACTGTAACGCAAGTATGTGATATGAAAAATGAGGAACTGCTAAATGAGAGTGGGTGGGATCAGTCATCAACAATATTTCAGAACTTGCATGAGAACTTGAAATATTGTTGATGACTGATCCCACTCACTCTCATTTAGCAGCGCCTCATTTTTCATCCTCTTTTGCAGTTCTTCCAGTTGGTCCTCCAACAGTATTTAAGAACTTGAAATATTTTTATGGTCAGCAATTTATATGGAGCATGGATAGCATGGTGATATCCTATAAATAGCAGACCCATTTAACTGGCATTTCAATTTTTAAAATGCCATTTTTAGTGTTGAATCACTAACTTTTTGACTTCTATGAATTTTGGAATGTTCTTCCATTATTTAGATTGTTTCACCTCTATGGGAAAAAAAAGTCAATTAGAAGGAGTCAAGAAGAAAATAATGTGGCGACTAAGCTTTTAAATAACCTGTGGTTTAGGCTTTCATAGTGAAAAAGAAATGTTGGGAATTTCCATTTCCCTTTCATGAATTACTGAAAAATTGTTTCTGGTTCTGGACACTTGTTTCCTCTGACAGAGCATCAGAGGGACTGGTGTGGAGGATGTTTTTATCAAAAGTGAAAGCAGTCTGCAGCAGTGGTAGTACTGCACCCTGTGTGATCTTTCCCTTCCAAGCCGGGAAGGTCTCATTGCTGAGATGCTTCTTATCTTTCTCATGTGTATAAAATTATTGACTTAACCTTCTTGGTAGCAGTAACAGCTGCACGACTTATTGATAGCAATTGTGTGCAATTTCCCGTGTCAAGATTAGATATGAAAAGAGACTGAAATGTGAATGATAAGTGAACAAAATTTTCTATTCAGCTAGAACAATATAGGATGGAAACTTTATTTTTGCAGCTTGAAGGACTGGAGTATGACTGCCAACCTTAAGGAAACAAAATGCAAAAATTTTGCTTAAGCAGAAAACAAAGGAGAAATGATTGCTGGGAACAAATTCTATAAGGAAGCTAAAATTAACTTCATCTGATGCAAGTTACATAGTTTTTAATATTATTAAATGGTTCGAATGGATGAATCCGAGAAATTCGTAGTAGTTTTTGCCTTGCTTTATTACGAAGGGAAGCTTGGTGGGTGGGCACAAAACCTGATCTTGATACAGTTGATATATATATCTGTTTACCCACATAAAGTTTCTAGGTTTTATCAATCTTGTCTTCATAGCACTTTTTGGATCTCCAGTAAAAAAAAAAAATACTTCCAGTGTAGGCGAGCGTATAGTAAAAAAGATAGATGTTCACATTTTGTCTGAATAAGCAATCAAGTGAATTGTTGCTGAACTTACTTTACTAACTATGGTAGAGAAACAAGGAAATCAATAAAAGCTTAAGTGACTTGCTTCATGGTCACAACTGAAAAATATGTTAATATTGAGAATAATTGCGTTTGGTGTTAGTGGAAACTTTAATACTCTGATATTTATAATTTAAAATGCAGTATGAGGAAGATGCAACATCTTGCCTGAATTCTTCACGACATTTTTAATAGCACAGATTTTCAGACTGGTTTGTTTATCACTAGATGGTGCTGTTGCCTTGAGAGAAAAAAAAAGTTCCAATGCATTTGACTCTTCCCCTCCTTTCACTGGGGGATGAATTCAGTAAAATAGAGGCTGAAGACTTAATTCTTTTTTTCTTACATTGAAAAGCTAAGTAATTCAAGGTGATTATACTGTTGCATAGTTTTCTTTTTGTAGTTTTTTTCCCAAATTAGTAAGTCTGGTCTTAGCGTGGCAATAGCAAATTTGAAATAGAATTGTGGTCCATTGACACCGCTTTCAAGTTTGAGGTAGGGTAATCTGGATATTATTTTTTGCCTGATGATGTGAAATGAATGTCATGCTTCTTGAATCCACTAAAAACACAATTACTGAATTTGATTGTATTGTCTTCTGATAAGCATTTCAGCAGTCATAAAAAATAAGTTTAATCTTACCTGTATTAGCCATATTTCAGTTGCATTAAGTTGGTGCTCTTGAGTTGGGATAAACTGAAGTATCCTATACTCTTGTTGCTAATAATTTGCAGAAAGAATGTAAAAAAATTGCTTTTAGGCTTATGTGATCTGGGCTGCTTTGATGGGAAGGGAGAAGAACTCTTTAATGTTACCGGTGAAGGTAGAAGGATCCAAAACCACACTTGTGAAACTAAAGCATGTTTGTTAAAACTGCTTGCAAATGATATGCCCTTGTCTTGTCTTGTCTAGGTGTCCATTGCACACATGGTTTCAATAGAACTGGATTTCTGATCTGTGCCTTTTTGGTTGAGAAGTTGGACTGGAGGTAACTTTGAATGTTAATTCCTAGGGTTTTGTGGAGAGTGACCAAAGGTGTCTTCAGTATGTTTCACTCATTGTCCTGACAGCTATCCTAATGTATTCACTTTTTGTTATTTTAAAACTGCCTACTAATCTTGAGCAAACAACCTATATTAACATTATTCATATCATCCCTTGGTAGCTTAGCCTGTTTCAGTCAAGCTTTCCAGGTCCGGTAGGTCAAAAGTTAGCTGTACCTGCTGTGTGTGGGCTTTTAGGAGTGTATATTTTGTATTGTGTCTCTTCCCTGTGACATGTCCCACATTTTGAGTAAGAATGTAGAGTTCAGAGATGCCAGAAAGATTATTTCTCTTACCTTTTCATCTTTTTCATGTAGGTTCGCATGTATAGGCTTTTTTGGGGTTTTTGGGTTCTGAAGAGAAGAGATTAGCTAGAGCAACAGCAGAGTGACATACTTGCTTCTGAAGGGTTGGCGGGAGACAAAGTCCTTGCGTCTAGCTTGTTGTTTGACTAAAGCCTACAGCATGCTTCTATGCAGACTCACCTGGGTTTTCTGTGATTTAAAAATGTTGGTGCCTTCATAAAGAGTAGTGACCTTTTTCAAATAACATTAGTGTAAAAAAAAGAATTGCCTGTACCATGCTGGTGGGCATGACTTTTGCACGTTTGGTAGTATTAACAAAACACTATTTCCTTGCTGATGGGGTCCCGTGCAAGGCATGTTTCTTAACAAGCCCCTTAAGCATTCTGATGATATTTCTTATATGGTCCTTTAAGTGAAGAAAATTCTAATCCTGTTGGAGCATTTTATTATGACTGGACATACAGTTATTTGGTGCTTAGCATGTATGTGCAAGCTGTTTGCAAAGAACTAGGTCATTGTTGTCAGTAAACTTGGAATAAAGACATTGGAGTAATGGAGACAGAACACCATTAGTAGTGGGTGGCTGAATCTTGGCAGAATCTTAGCTGACACAGATACAAATATCTTTATAGTATGATTCTAATTGTTCCTATGAACTGGAAAATTTGTATGCTTTTAATCTAACAATTTAAAAGCAGCATGCAATAATTAGACTCAGAATTGGTCCTTTGTTCTGAAGAGGAAATGCACTTGAATCTCCTGCTTTTATGCAACCTCACTTTATTTTCAGACCTCAGTGGGAAAAGCCTTAAAAGTTAATAGCCATAGCCATGTCTTTTTTTTTTTTTTTTTAGTTCATTCAGGTAGTTAATTGTATCAAGTTTGTTCATCTCTGTCAGATTTTTTTTAACAGAATACCTGGATATCACCTGGTAGGGAAAAATGTCCACAGCAAAAGAATGGATTTCGGCAAGGTGGTAGTTAATGTTAAGCATTGTATCAAGATAAATCCAATTTGCTGTATCATTCTTTAAAATAAGGCACTGTTATTTGCTGATGAGGAAGTAAGATTTTCCTTATGGAAAAATCCATCCATATTCATTCCTTAAGCATATGATATAGGATCGCTGCTGATGTACCGTGAATACTGAGATGTATTTTATAGTTAGTTTAAAGAAAGGTCATCCAGACTGAAAGCTCTCCAGCTAGTGAGCAGAAACCTTACTTGATTCTTTTTTTCACAACTAATTTTTCCAAAAGACTGCTGTGTTTCTAGAACTTGGAAATATGTTTTCTTTCAGCTAGGTTTCTGTGCTTGAAATCTGTGCTGTCTCTTTTGGCTTTCACTGCCATCTATTCCAGAACAGTATAGAGTTGTTCTAATATCATGAGAGACAAATTTGAGCATCTTTCAGGCCCTATCCCTTCTGGTTTGTTTTGTCCTTCCAATGGCATTGATTACAGAAGATGTGAAACAATTTAAGAAAGATACCAAAATAAAAAATGTCTTCTGAGGAAGAAATTAGGAGTCTTGGAAAACCGAATGGGGAAGAAAGCTCCTTCTAAATAACTCACATTCTTAAACTGTCATTTGTGAGATCTGATGACCGACCATCTGATAGTCTCACTCTGGAAAATATTTTGTTTTCTACTCTTACCAAAGATCAGAAGAGAGAACCAAACTTATTGGTTCTTAGGAAGTGTTTCTGTCTATTCTAGGAAATTTGCCTCATAAAGTTCTTAGGCTCCTTCCCATACTGTACAGATCAGACAAAAAAATGCCTTTTGTATTTAAATTCTTTGTTCCATTTTAGCTATATGTTTTCCTTGTTCCAGTGGCAGGCTATTTTCTTATCTGAAAAAAATTATTTTCACAGCATGTAATATGTGCTTTTGTTCCAGCTTTAAGATATGTGCTTGTCAAGAAGCCTAACAGGGGCATGTACCTTTTGTGATTTCTCCTCTCTTTTAGTTAGCAAGGTTTCTAAATGTTGATCCATGGAGCATTACTGCTCTACGCAGCCATGATCAATTGAAGACAGAATTATGTCCAGTGTTTTCTGTTAAACATTTTCATAGGATCTCTGATAATGGCAACAATAAAACCCTTGTGCTGTGCTCGCTGTTGTATATTTTTGAGTGCTTTCCAGTTGGCTAGTAAAGGTGTATGACTGTCAGTTTTGGTTTCTAATTTTTTTGTGATCCAGTCTCCAGTTTACTAACGCACTTAAGATTAAGCGTTAGCTGCATAGTGGAAGGCTTCTGAATTACAGGTTTTTATGAGAAACTTCTGGAAAGAGAAGTAATTTCAAAAGATTAGGATGCTTTTTTCCAGTGTGATGGCAAAACCTCTAATGAAAAGAAAGAGGATTCTTAGGGAGAAAAAAGTAGCCATGTTTGATCTTCAGCACTTGCATTTTTCTTCATTAAGATTGTTCATCTTTTTCTTTGGTCTTTTTTGTCTTCATTCAGTCTTTAAGTACTCAGCTACATGTCACCCATTCCTTTTTTGTAGCAATATTAAGAGTTTTACCTAGGTGATGGGCAGACCACTATTGGCTACAATAAGGAGGTGAAGCAGTGCAAGCTGCAGTTACTTCTGAGAACATACGCAGTGCATATTAATTATGCAGAATCTTGTGCAAGAGCAACTGTTGCCAGGCTGATATGAGCATGATGTTTCAAATATAATGAATGTTTTTGCTATTACCAGTTTGGAATTTGTTTTAATTCTCAGTCTCAAAAAATCTTACGTTTGGTAAGGCAGAACATGACTAAAACATGTAAATTAAGCATCCAGAGTAATTTTCAATTTTTATTTGACAGTATTGAGGCTGCTGTGGCTACTTTTGCTCAGGCTAGACCACCAGGTATTTATAAAGGTGACTATTTGAAGGAATTATTTCGTCGTTATGGAGATGAAGATGATGCACCATCACCACCTGAGCTACCAGAATGGTGCTTTGATGAAGATGAAGAGGAGGACGATGATAATGGTAAAACAGGAGGCCAAGAATCAGAACCTGGATCATCAAGCTCTTCCTTTGGCAAGAGGAGAAAAGAACGCCTAAAACTGGTATTTTTGATTAAGAACTTAATATTCTAATTGCTAAACTTAATTTCATAAACTCATAGTCATCAGTTACTACATAATATACGCTATACAAGTGTCAGTGCTCTTGCAAATGAGGACTGGTAGTATTGTCTCTAACCAGGAAAAACTGGTAGATTCATTGCAAGCTTTCTTATGTTTCCTATATGAACCTTGAACTTTAACATTCAACACCTCAACTATTCCAGTTGTAAAAATTACTTAAAATTTTTCTAATATAACAATTTTTTTTTAAAGTTTGAGTTGAGATAGTAAGGTGAAATGTTATGGGGTGTGTGCGTAAATAGTTTTTACTTATTTTTTTGTAGTCATGGTATGAAATTCAGAATTTTTTAAATTCAGTGCTTGTTTTGGTAAATATTCTTACTTTTGGAAATTCGGGAGGATTGAGAATTGGATTAGCAAAAAGCAGTATGAGTTTAAAAGGCAGCTTTGAAATTGTATTTTCCTCAAAGCTGTTTTAACTGTTTAATGGTAAGAAATATGGCTGATCACTTATTGTGATTATTTTGACATACATCTGCATAATTCTGATGAAATAAGTTACTGTAGTTACCACAGTACGGAACTAATACTCAAGTGCAAAGAATATACTTGTATCATCTGAAGACTAAATGACTCAGTTCTTTCCAAATTCCTGACTCTTTTTTTTTATTTGCAGATAAAGTAGGGGAGAATGTTGCTGAGTGCAAAAATAGATTCAGTTCTTTTTACATAATACTGAATTATTTTACTTGCGTGCTGAGGTGTGTTTGTTTGCGAATACTTGGAAATCCTCATATGAAATACACTGCAAAAATGCATTTTGTTGTTACTGCAGCTGCTCAACATGGTTTACAGATGGAGTATGGAAGAAGTTAGCCTGAAAGGAATACAAAATCTAGTCCAAAGAAGCAAGATCAACTTTGAAAATTTTCAAATAGTCCATCAGCTGGAATAAAAAGCCCACACTGTAAAAATCCATAGTAAAAATATATTCAGGGATATGGCCACTATCTCCATTAGCCTTGCAATAAAACATTGATATATAAAAAAATTTATTTGGGCTGGAACCTCAAAACTAATTTTTTGACTCACCTTTTGATGCATTAGCAAATGAGGTGTGATGGTGAGGTCCAATGACAGCTTCTTTTCAGCAAGTATAAAACTAAACTGGTCTGTTTAACAGGAGTCATGATACTGGCTTCCCAGGCTTTTTCTTGTCTGCCACCATAGTTTTTTGAAAGCTGGAAGCTAAATTATACGAATAAGCATATTAATAACTAAAAGTTAATTATGAGTTAGAAAATTTATGAAAGAAAGAATCATCTAGTTAATATGCATATTCGTATAATTCAGTTTTGCAGCTCTGGAGGAACATTCTTTGACATGAAGAGGAAGAACGGGGAGAATTCTTTACCATGGTTCTTGGCTGGCAGATTGGACTGCTTCTTAACTCAGTAGAAATGGATACAATCTATTTGTGATTCCCTGTAAATATGCGATCTACAGGGGGAATGATTATCAGGTAAATACCTCTTGCTCAGATTTTCTTATTTTACTGTCTAAAGGGCTAAATTTTCAGCATTATGTTGATTTCCTGCAGGAGATGTTTTCAGCCTTCTAATTTGACTGTTTCTCTAAACACCTAGGGGTAGACAGTGTCAAACTAGAGGTGGCTGTGGCGATATTGCTGTTTGAAATGTTTTCATTTTGACCCAAATCTTTGTGGGGACAGAAGAAAAGGTTAGGGGTAGAGGAGGAGGCACCTCTCAGGCATCTCGCTGGGATAATGAATAGTCAGAAGCAGCTGCCCAGCTAGCCTGCGAAGTGAAGTTAGCATGCTGTCCCTTTCAGAAATTCCATCTTGGATGTGAGAAACTTTACTGCAGCACCTTTCACTAAAACGTCCATATTTTGATGTCAAAAAGGTTTGACAGCGTTTTTTTTTCTACACTACAGAAACTGTGGGAACCATTAGAACATAATGCCATTACAGTTTCCTTTGTCATCATCCGAATGTAGTTGAGAGGTAACAGCAAATCTGTTTGCTGTAGTCTCAGATGCTACACAGGAAATCCAAACGCGTTTTGACTTTGTCAATGCATGCCATAATGATTGTAGCATGGAAGCAAAATTATTAACTGACACTTAGAATCTCACTTCAGGAAAATAAATCTTCAGGAAAAAAATACTTCATTTTGCAAATAGGACAAAAAGTTATAATTCTGAGCCAGAACCTTCAAACTTTTCATGGGTCAACCAGATCTTTTATTGTTTATTAAGGAATGCCATTTGTTCTAGTCCTGTGTAAGCTGCGTATTTCACAGGCATTACAGGGTGTAATACGTAATGCTTCTAAAATGGATGGTTACATCTCAAACAGTCTGGAAGAGATGGTAGCTGTTAATGATTTTCTTCATGATTTTGAGTGCAGGTGTCTTGTGGTCATTTGCGAGACAGAGGGAAACCATTAAACCTCATGGTTGACATAGTTAGTGAGGGTAGTATTTGTTATTTAACTATAAAAGTACATTGATTCTGAATACTAGTGACTTTGGTTTTTTTTCTGCCTAACCTACTTTTTTTTGCCAAAGTTTAACCCCTGTACTTATTCTACCCACAGGCGTCTTGATGGATATGGGAAAAAGATGATTTTCTGATTTTGCAGCAGCATTTTCTGTACTTGAATACGGGTTTCATTTCCTTTTAGCCTTCTGTTTCTCCATGTAAAATGCCAATTTGTTCACTTTTTCCCTGTAGTCCGTATTTTTTACACTTCTGACCATTCTTGTCATTCTTTGTATTCTGTCATGTTGACTCAAGGTTTTCGGAGACTGTGGTGCGTATAATTGAACATAAGCCTCTAGTTGAGGTCATCCTACTGCTTAATAGGGAGGAATTAATTTCATGTGTCTTAAGGCTAATACTTCTGTTTATATATCTCAATATAATTGCCTTTTACAAGACAGAATAATACTAATTCAGCTTTTGGTCTCTTGCTGCCTCCGTATCTTTTTCTCAAATTATCTACCAGTGTTTGTTTTTATAATTGCTTATTCCTTATTAAGTGTAGAACTTTGTTTATACTGAATTGCACAGTGTTTTTTCCAGCCTATTCTTAAAATTAAAGATAACACCGAATTCTTAAGATACCATCACAGTCTGTATCCCTGTTACTAAATTCACAGATGTCACAGGAATAAGAATATGCTAATAGGAAATTTAGGGAAAAGAAATTAATTTTCTTATACCTAAAGCTGACCCCACAGATCCTCCTCAATATATTCTTCTGTTTTGTTAGTGAAACACTAACTCCTCTGAACCTGGTTTTGAAACAGGTTGCTCTTCTGTTTTGTAGAAGTTACATCTACCCCATGTTTTCTGAGTTCCTCTATGAGAACAAGGCAAGCAAACAAAAGACAAGACAAAAGCCAGCATCAAAACATGTGATATTTCCTGCTTCTCCCAATTCTGTGAAGCCTGTTTCATTATCAAAACCAAATGATTAGTTGAACACCATTGTTACTGAGTAACAGTCAGTATGATTTTGTTGTATCTTTTTTGCTTTTACATGCCTAGAGGCAGTTCTTGTGATCTGGTCCTGTATTTCTAGGCATTAAATCTAAGCTGATTAGTGTAACTCCCTGGCTCTCCCTCTCTTCTAGAAGATGCGGACTCTCTCTCTTCCTGACATGTTTTGGAATGTTTCTTGTCCTCTGGAAGGCAGTCTCTGAGCATATTGGCACTCAGTCAAGTCTGAGTAGCTGAAGGTGGCTATCACCCAGGCCTGGTGATAACCACTAGGGTCAGGGAGGTGTGTATTTGGGGCTGTTCCCACTCACCCACTCCTCCAGATCATGTTTCGGATCTGGACCAACACAAGATGATACACATTGCCACTTCTCCTTCAGCTGAAGTGATGGGTGGAAGGGTACGGTGGCAAGTGGAGAAAGCTTGATTAGTACTGATGGTGTGAAAGTTGTGCAAAGTGTAGATACTAAGTGCATATAGGTACCTTGGATCCATTAGGGCTTATAACTCTTGGCTTAGTGGCAGCGCTGAGGACCTGAGGCGCTCCTGCTGAGCTGAGTGTTCTGGCATCTTTGCATCATGTTCTCCAGGGTCCTGATTCCATGGAGGCTTGTTAGCTCAACAGTGGCGCAGAAGGTGCATGGATCTGGCTTTGTTTTGGCACCTTCAAGGAAATGTTCTCATGAAACCTGGAGTGCTGAGTTAGCAAAGCACAGATATCCAAGTGACTCACCTTGTTTTCGTAGTGCTGTGCGTTAGCTAGTTGAGTATACTTGAGGCTGATCATCTGCAAGAAACACTTACAAATGGTAGGCACCAATTTCATGTTTGGGACTTCTGTTTTTCCGGAAAATCTTTCCTGTTGTCTGCCTTTTGCTTTAATTTTAGTGGTCGTACTGCTGTTGCACTCTGCCATTATTCTGAGAAACAAGGCACAACCATCTTCCTTTATTTCATGGTGCTCTTAACCACTTACTCAGAATTCAGACAACATACTGGCCAGGCATGTGTAGCTGTCTGCCTCCCTCGTCCAGTCACCTGTGTGCTGTTGCACCTGCTGGTACCCACATAAATAATATAGGATAAGTGATGTGCCAAAAGTCTGTGGAGCTTAAGGTAATTAAGGTTATGAACTAGCGTATTTCTTTAGGATGTGCTGCTCTCAGAGTACGATTTGGTGATGCAATTGAGCCAATATTAACTAAATGCAGGCTGTACTGAAAACTGCGGTCCTGCTTTTCATGCGCTCCTTGTGTTCCTTCTGTTTCCCTTGTGCTGGCACTAGTGCTGACTCGTCTTATGGTGAGCTAGTTTAGGATACTAATTTGGCAGAAAATTACTAATTTATGATGTTATTTTTGCCAACTTAGTTCCTATACTTGCTCAAGAGTAGAACAGATGAGTGCCATGGTGTGTGGAAGGGGAAGGGAGCAAAAAGGCTCCTTTCATCAGTGATATGCAGCTAGATTTGTTCAGACAAGTTTCAAGCATTTTAGAGAATAGTTATGAAGTACTTGCATCTTCATTTGCATCTTCATAGCTCAACAGGTGAAACTTCATGCTTTGATCTTCTTAGTCTGCATTGAGAATTTATTTGAGATGCTGTTGAAATAAGTTTGGTCGATTTGGGATCTTTATAGAAATCTTTAATTATGTAGCTTTGTAGACCTGATGGCTTTAATGTATTCCGTTGCACAGAATTTGTTTTTATTCCACTCAGCATCAAACTTTTTCTGGAATATACAAGTTATTTTAGAGTTTTATTTTTGGTATTTTTTTATTGAGCTCTACTTAGGCTTTTACTGTGGCATTCAGGATAGCACCTCCACTTTAGTAACCTGGTTTAGATTGAGAATAAAATTATGCAAGGATATTTTTACAGAAATATTTTGAGAACCCTTTAAGTTTGCTGCTGCATAAGTCCCTTCATTCTTTCAGTTGTTTTCCCTACAGTGTAAGTTTAGGTTTTGAGACATATAACATGGTAGATCATCCAGGTGGAGATGAAATCCATGTAATTGAACTTCTTGTACTGGAATTACCATCTAGGTCTGATAAAATTAACATATTTAATTGAAAACATGCATCTCAAAGATTTTGAGGGAGAAAAGTAGGACTTAATGTCTTCATCTGCTGAGATTTTTGTTTAAAAAAAAAACAAACCACCAAAAACCTCGTGTCTAAAGATGTTTTCCAGTTACTTTAGTTTACTAATTACCAAGCTACTTATGTTTGTCTCACATATTATATCTCTACTGTTAGTGAACAGCTCTTACTTTCCACGAGTCAAGGAAAGCACGGAATTGTTGGTCTAGAAATACTATTTATGTATTAAAAAATTTCATTTAACATTTCATACGTCTATTTTATCCTTAGTTTCCAGTTTACTTATTTTGAGGCCATACTTTTTGGCATACTTAAGAGGTGTCACAAAGGCTTCTGCCAGAAGGAGTTTTGTGACCTTTAATGTACAGTGGTTTGCTCCAGGCTTAAAATACTGCTTAGGTTCAAATTCTCATCCACAAATAGATGTTGTGCACAACCTTATTGTTATAGAATATTTTGTGTACTGAAGTTAATTAATTTGATCCCTGCAAATTCCATATGTGACCAATTTACTACTAAATACTTGATACTTCTTTCTTTTTAAATAAAAGCATTTTAGTTACAAATGAAAAATAATGAGTCAGACCGATGCTGTACCTTGGCGTGGGAACTTTCTTGAGAGTACTACCTAAACAGTGCCTATCCCGTACCATTTAGGTACTTTTAATTTTTTTATTTTTAATTATTATTTTATTTTTTCCCCCACAAATAACTCATTTCAGTTCCTGGGTTCGTAATATGGCTCACCAGTGACTTTACTGGCAAAGCTCAGCTGATATATCTCAGTATTTGGGGGTAAATCTTTAAGGAATATTTAAGCTAGTATTGCTCGTGAGGGTCAACTTGTAAAAACAGACTTAATCTTGTATTGACATGTTCTGATCTGCTTTTATGAAGGCTTAAATACTAATTCTTAATTTTTTTTTTATTTAGGGTGCAATTTTCTTGGAAGGAATAACAGTTAAATGTGTGACCCAGGTGACGACACAACCAAAGTTAGGAGGAATACAGCAAAAATGTCAGCAGTTCTGTGGATGGGAAGGGTATGAGAACATTTACGACTTGTTTATTTATACTATCTAGAAATAAGTGTTACGTATCTAGTTTTGCAGAAGGAAACAGCTCATTGTAAAAATGAAAAAAGGTGACTATTTTTTGATGGATTGCTTAAAAAAAAAGAGCCTTAAAAACACTCAACATTGAAACAGATGAGGATCTTGCATTGTACTATGAGACGGAATGATCAACTGTTGATACTAAGGAACAAGATTCTAGAACTGCTTTTTCATTGAGATAACAAAATGTTTTCAGATGAATTGTTGCTGTACAAATTCCAGACGTAGTCTAGTCCATGTATTTGTGTAAAATTTAGTGCTTGCTCTAGCAGTGGACTTATTTATAGAACGGCTATTACACTTCAGTATTGAGGTACAATACTCGTTTTTATAGCCAACTTTGATTTGTGTCCAGTGTTAATGAGAATGTTGATTTTAATGTCTCAGATTCTGAACTGCTCCTTTCCAAAGCTGATGATCCAGGGAGTTGCCCACAGTGCTTCCTAACTTGCTGGTGCTTGTACTTCTTCTAGTGCTTGTAATTTTGAATTCAAATATCTCTTCCTCCAGAGTTAAAACTTTGAAGTTCCACATAATTTAGTGCTTTTTCATAAACAAATACCCTTGTTCTTATCAGATAAGCATTGGATTCCTCTTGCAAAATACCTTATTGAAGAAGATGTTCTAACTCAAAGTTAACCTTGCAGCAAGTCTGGTACAAGGTGTGACTTCAGTCTAATGTAAAAAACGCATTGCCTTGTGTGACTATTTATTGCAGAACATTAATAAACACGGTTCTTTTTTTTTAGGTCTGGATTCCCTGGAGCACAGCCTGTTTCCATGGACAAGCAAAATATTAAATTTTTGGAGCAGAAGCCATACAAAGTTAGCTGGAAAGCAGACGGCACTCGGTAAGTTCATTTTAAATGAAAAAGAAACACCCAGTAAATTGGGTAGACAGTTTGTATTTTCCCAGGAAAGTGAATTCGCTTGTACAAAGGACAAAGCATATTCTAACAACAAAACTGACTCCAGAGGTTAATTTTTTTGCTGTCTTGGTACCCAACATTTGCTGAAGTTTGTGGCCAAGTTTCTTTTTAGCAGCTGTTCTGCAGACTGACTGTTAAATGTATGTACTTTTATTCTTCTCCATACCCCTTGCCTTTCTGTCAGCCAAGACTTGCCACCAAGGTCTTAGAATAATCTTAGATAACAGTAAGAGTTTGTTAAGCTAAAGAATTTGTTTATAAAAGCTGAATTAAAACTTCTAGTTGATCCTTCAGAAGCTGGCTATTATTAGAAATTTCACAGGGTTTTTTTATTTGTACTGTGATCCTTTGTTCAAACTTGTAGTTCTGGTCAGCCAAAGAGTCAATAGTTTCGTCTTCCCTCACCAGTTCTCTTCCATGCATTGTAGGGGTGACTTTGTTTTATAACAGACTACAACCTGATTGGATTGATGTGTTGAACCTCTTCAGTGTTGTTATTTCAGGTTTGAAATGCATCCTTGTATTTAATTTCTCCAGTATTCTCATGCTAGCATTTCAAAGTAAAAGAAACACCATACATCATCAAATACAGAATGGCAAAACACTTTTTTCTCTGATTGTAACTGGTTATGCATCGGTCTCAACTGCATGAAACTCAGTTGTCTAAACATGTGCCTCTAGTATCATTGGGTATCCTTTCGTTGCTTTGTCTCGTATAAAAAAGCCACGTCACACAGGGTCTCTTGGCTCTACACCCAGCAGCTTGGATGAGGTGTAGAAAGTATTTGCTACTCACATTGAAATAAAACCCCAAACGTTAGATGCCCCATTTCCTTGTACTCTTGCAAAGAGGTACTGTGGCCCTTCATACAAACAAATCTTTCTTGAGTAAAATTCCAAACCTCCAAAATCATACTTACTTTCATAGGACTGAATATTTTTTATAGGTTGGAACATTTGTGAAATTACAACCATTTTCTTGAGCTTTTGAAATCATCCTCAGGGGGGATTGATTTTCTAAACCTTCTGTTTTTCTTCAGTATTTCTAGTTTCAAAACTAAAATCAAGAATCCCAGATATTAATGGAAATGGTTTTAGCCTATGCTACTGTCCTGGTTTCGGCTGGGATAGAGTTAAGTTTTCCTTCTGGTAGCTGGTATAGTGCTGTGTTTTGGATTTAGCATGAGAATAATGTGGTAACGCACTGATGTTTTAGTTGTTGGTAAGCAGTCCTTATACTAAGTGAAGGACTTTTCAAGCTTCCCATGCTCTCACAGCGAGGAGGGGCACAAGAAGCTGGGAGGGAGCATAGCCAGGACAGCTGACCCAAACTGGCCAAAGGGATTTTCTGTACCATATGACTTCAAGCTCAGTATATAAACGGGGGGGAGGTAGTTGGGGGACAGCGATAACTGCTCAGAGACTGGCAGGGCGTTGGTTGGCCGGTGGTGAGCGGTTGCATCACTTGTTTTTCCTGGGTTTTGTTTCTTTCTTGTTGTTGTTTTCCTTTTCATTACAATTTTTTATTTTATCTTATTTCAATCATTAAACTGTTCTTATCTCAACCCACAAGTTTTCTTACTTTTGCTCTTCAGATTCTCTCCCCCATCCCACCGTGGGGGGAGGGTGAGTGAGCGGCTGTGTGGTGCTTGGTTGCCGACTGGCGTTAAACCACGACAGCTACTCATAGCATTCAGATCACAATCTTCCTTTTTGTTGTGGGCTCTATCTTGAGGTAATTAATAATGTAATTTCTTACATCATAGTCAATAGTGTCTCAGTAACAGGAAGAATTTAAATTGTGTGATACGTCTCATTCATTTCAATAGCTTGATTTTTATTTCTAAAAGGTGTTCTTTACATACAGTAGTATTTAAGCAATTGTAATCTATACTAAGTGGAATGACTTTAGTTTTTATTCACTAAGAGCAGATGAATAGATTTTTAACCTGCTTTGACTTGATCAGAAAAAGTGCGATTAAAATGAATGTACAGACGGTACAAGGAGGACTGTTATGCTCCTTTGTGCATGGTGCTTTAGACTAGCAAAAGAGTTTAGTGTTCACACATGTACAAGTTAGAACGCATCAGTGTGGATGAAATATATGCTTTCAAAAACAGGAGGTAAGAATTTTTGTTTTCAGACCGGTGAAATTAAAATACTGGTTTTGTGTATAAATATGGGCAAAAGAAGTTTTGTTTTATCAGTGCATTGGAAAGCATTCTCCTTTCCATGTGCTGAGACAACAAAGTAAAGTTTTGATACTCAAGAAACAAGCAGTGTAGGCTGTCTTCTAAAGTTTTTCCTGCGTTCTTTATTTTGTTAGTTTTGTTATCTTTAGTAATAGAACAGAATATCCTAGATAATGAAAAGCCTGGAAAATATGGGGAATTGGGTGTCTTATGAGAATTACCAAGCAGCTCCACATGGAGTCAGTCAGGATTCAGCACAATACAGCCAGAACTAGGCTGTCTCCTATAGAAAAAGCTCTTCAGGTGTCTCTCATCTGTGGATTTTGTACTTCAAGGGTTTATTAGCTTGGGCAAAGCATGGTGTGAAAATACAAAGTAAGCTTGCACTCATATGGCATCCAAGCATTAAGAAATGTGTGGGAATATTTGGCTTATTAACATTGGCTGGCTGTATGCCCAAGCACTTGGGTAATGCGATGCAGGTGTTCTCAGGGTGCGAGGTTACAGAAACATGGTGTTGGGAGATCCAGGCTTATTCTCAGGGCAGTACAGTTCATTCAAAAGCTGCTGAGCCTAAACAAGTAAACTCAGCCAACTTAACCTGACCGCGCCAAGAGCCAGATGTGGATTATGCTTTTAATCCACATTCCAGATATATTGCCCATGGACATAACTTGTATAACTGTGAAAATATGTTTACAAAGTATTAATGTCCTGTGCAGCTCAGCTATTGGTAATCCTTGCCTTTTTTCACAGCTTAGTCCTTCAGGAAGCCTTTGTTTTAGGGATTGGTTTACACTGGTATTTTATTATGTGTTAAAGACAGTTTATGAAAATGTTTTTGTATAATTTAAACCTATTGCTTCAAGAAGTAGTAATAGCAGAAAATAATTCTGTTTTAAAAATAATTTCTTTGCAGAAGGCCATTTAATATTAAAGGATAAAATTGCTTCATCTGCAGTGTCTTTAGTGCATTGCCACTGAAGAATAATCTGTTCCAAACCGTGGGTCATTAGCTAATACAGATTAGTATGTCTTAGAACAAATACTAAGATGCTGTAAAACTACAATTAGTGCTATTCTGTAGGGTTGTAAGCTGTTTTTCCACATTTCTTTTTTTGTTTGTATTTTCAATTTGAAGAGTCTCTTTGTTACTTATGTTACTCATTTTGAAAATTGAAGTCTTATGGAATATTCTTATTTTCTTACTCAAATGTACAGGATGCATACATTCTGAATACTAGAATAATTATATAGAAAATAGTAGTGCACCTGGAAGACTGCCTTTTGTGAAAGAAATTAAAATGCACATGTAATTTCTTGTAGGAATTTTCAGTATTTTGGACATTCTACCCTGTGTTTTTAGAGTTCTAGAATGGTGACAAAACAGAATGGATGAAGAATAAAACTGAGGGAACGAAATTGTTCTTTTAAATTTTCTCAAAACATAATAACTTGTAGTTGGTTATGGAGATACGCAGACTGATAGGTATATTCAGAAAAGAAAATGGTGCTACAAAGATACAGTGTTAATGAAATTCAGCTGAAGGAATGTTGTGAAAGAGAGATTAAAGATGAAAACCTGAGCTATTATTTGGACATGTAGACACTGTGCATGATAGCTACCCTAATCAACAATGAAAAATGACTATGGCAGTTTTTACATTGGACATGCTTCTAATTATTTTGTTGTTCTCCAACGATCTGGACTCCATATGCAATTAAGCAGATTTTCATTAATTATTCTGAATGCTTGTGTTGACAGGCGTGACCTTCCTGAATTTAATATTAAGACATCAGTTAGTGGAGATCCATTTTTGGATCCCCTGCTTACTTTATCTGGAGATGAAACCCCTGTCATGAAATATCTCTGAAGCTATTCTATTTAAGTGTGGTTTAGATGCAGCAGTCTAGGATTTGCCTACCACAGTATTATTTGGCTTGCATACTTTTGTTTTGTTTTGTTTTCTCTCTTTGCTTAAAAAAGCACTGCTGTTTCATCGACCTGATTGGACTTACAGAAAAGCAGATGCTTAACTAATAACTTTATATTGTACTTTCTCACTTAAATAAAACACTCTTATTGCAGTTAATAGCAATGTTTGCTGAATTTAGCCAAACTTCTTAAATTTCACCATTTTTAAATACCTGCATTTTATTCCTGCAGCAGTAGTTTTCTCTAGAGGATTCATGGCTGAAGCCTTTATTTGTAGATTGTCTTAAGTGACATGTAGTGTCAGTCATTTCATTGAGGACTTTTACTTTTCTCCAAAGGTATTTGCTATTCCTAGATTTCAACTGGTGCTGAACTTTCACCCTTCTGGTTTCAGAACTGGGTTGTTGGTGGGTTTTTTGTTTGTTTGTTTTTCAGTGGTAGAACAGTGCGTGTTTTCTTGCTTTCTTAGTATTGTTATATTTTCCACCCATGATTTTTTAAAAAAAGAAAGTAATTCCCTAAATGAAAGAGCATTGTTTATCATCTTGTGTTGACTAAATAATGTGAAATGGATTAGTTAAATTATTTGACAGTGATTCTATAAAATACTTTGGGGAAATTTACTGGAGTAGTATTTTACGCACTTTTGTAAATGTGTGGGTTCTGAGTCTGGTTTGGGTCAAAACTTATCCTTCTCCATTCTCTTGGAGCCCTGAGTTCAAAATCTTTTGACTTACCCTTGCTTAGTCTGCCCTGATTCGCAGAGTTTGTGCCTACACCGTGGTCTTGCTTG